TTTTCTCTTCCTCTTCTCCGTTCTTCTTCCCTTCTTTTTCCCCTCTTCTTTCCTTCTCTTCTCTTCTCCTCTTCCTCTTTCTTCTTCTCTTCTCCTTCTCCCTCTTCCCTTTTCTTTTCCTTTTTCTCCTTCTCCCTTTCCTTTTCCTTTCTTTTCTCCTTTCCTCTTCTCCGTTCTCCTTCTTCCCTTCTCTTTCTCCCTCTTCTTTTCTTTCCTTCTCTCCTCCTCTCTCTTCCTCTTTCTTCTTCTCTTCTCCTTTCTTCTCCCCTTCCCTCAGCTCTGTTCTCCTTCTCCCCTTCTCCCTCTTCTTCCTTCCTTCCCTTCTTCTCTCTTCTCCTGCCCCTTTCGCTCAGTTGTCTTGGCTGGTAGGTCCAGAGCCTGACCTTGGCGCTCTCTTCCTCCCTCAAGGCAAAGTTGCACGGTCTCAAAATGGTGGCCTCAAGGAGGCCTAGTCCAACCCTGGTTTCTATCCCGGTTTATTTTTATTTTTTATTTTTTTAATTTGTGTGGGTGGGTGTGTGCTTCACCCCGGCGTTCTCCTCCGTAGAGCTTTGGAGCTGTGCACGGCGCAGCCGAGCATCCATTACTTCGCCCCCAAAGCTCACCCTGGAAGCGGAACGAAGAGGCGGTGGCTTTCCTTGCTAGCCTTAGACGTGCCGGTTGCGGCGCGTGCCTGTGTGTATGATGTACGTGCGCGCGTGTGTGTGTTTGTGTACAAGAAAGAAAAAACACCTCCAGGTCTGTTGTTCCCTCTCAGTAATACTCAGTGGGTTATTGAGACCTAACTCGTCCTGCATCCCGATAATACAAAACAGGATTTATGGGGGCGTCTGAAATTCAGGAATATTCGGCCGGCTGAGGAGCTGACTTCGGAGGATGGGAAGAGGGGCATTTTTTGTTTTTTTCCAGCGGCCAAAAAAGGGGGTTTCTGGCTGGCCTCTACCCTTCTTCCAGACGAAGACCCCAACTTCAGGGCTGGGAGGTTCAAAAGGCCATCGTTGCAAAATGGACGTCATCTTATCCGGCACGGCTGTCGGGAGTTACCCCCCCAAAAAAGAAGGGGGGGACGGATTTTTCACCCCTTTAAGAGTTTGGCTGTCTTTTCTTTCTCTCTTCGGGCTGGGCAGAGAGAGAACGAAAAAAAAAAAAAGGTTTCCTCTAAAATGCAGCTAAGCAAAGCAAAACACACAGCCCCAACTTCAAAAACAAACAACCATCCCTCCCCAATCAAACCAGGATCAGAAACATTGGATCAGCCCAGGATCTGGGTCCATAAGGGTGGGGTTGTGTTGAATTGCACATCCATTCTGTTTGGTTCAAAGGACCAGGGAAGGGATAGAAAAGTATATACTATAATTTTATTTTATTTTTATTTTTCATTTTTCTTATCAGCTGTATGGAATCACCTAGGTGTGAATCCGGGCGTCTGTGTAAATTTGTTAGTAGGTAAAATACAGGTAGTCCTCGGCTTACGACCTCAGTGGAGCGAACCCTACCTTCCTGCTGCTAAGCAAGACATCGGTTAAGTGAGAGGTTTTTTTTTCCCTCCGTTGAACGTTTTTTTGTTACGGCTGTTCATCGTTGCAGTTAGTTGCAAAGTTTGTAAGGTGATGGTTGGCTTTGCTCGTGGGCAGGGTCGCAAAAGGGGGGACACTGCAACCGTCCTAGGTAGGAGGAAGTAGCCAAGGGCCTGAATTTTGGATCCCGTGACTGTGGGGAGGCTGCTGCCAAACGGTCGTAAGGGTGAAACGCGGCCCTGAGTCCCTTTTCTCAGGGGCATTGGAACGGAGGGCGGAGCTGGCGTCGCGACGATACGGCATGTGATCTCAGACCTCCGAGATCGCAGCCGATATCTTTGCCCCTGGACGGCCCAAAGGGATCTAAACCGTCCCGAAGAGACAGCGAAAGTGAGGAGCACATCCTGTCAATCCCAGGGATACCGCAAAGTCCCTGGTAGATCCAGGAGAAGCTCTTCTTGCCAGCGGCAAAGAGGCAGCCATTAAAGCTGCTGAAGTTGGAAAGTTGATTTTTTTTGATTAACATCCTCGCTTACGGGATGTCCTGTATCCCTGGGAGGCCCTTCCGATCTCCCCCATAGGACCATTATTTCCTGACCAGGCCCGTCCTAGTAACTCATCCTCGGTGCCCCCCAACCAAAGAGATTATTCCCACATCCGTCCTGCACATTTATAGGGTACTCAATAGTAGTAGCTGAGAGAAGGATCTCGGAGTCCTGGTGGACAATCATTGAAAAATAGGAGCCGGCCGTGTGCAGTAGCAGCAGCCAAAAAAGCCAACACCGTTCAAGTCTGCATCAACAGAGGGAAAGAATTAAAATCGGGTGAAGTGTTAACACCCCTTTGTAAGGCTTTGGTAGGGACACACTTGGAATAATGGATCCAGTTTTGGTCGCCACGATGTAAGGAAAAGATGTGGAGACTCTGAAAAGAGGGCAGAGAGGATTAGGGGACTGGAGGCTGAAAGATACAAAGAACCATTGCGGGAATTGGGTATGTCTGGTTTAAGGAAAAGAAGGACCAGGGGAGACAGGATAGCAGTCTTCCAGTATCTCAGGGGCTGCCCCAAAGAAGAGGGAGTCAAGCGATTCTCCAAAGCCCCTGAAAGGCAGGAGAAGAAGCAACGGGTGGAAACTAACCAAGGAGAGACGCAACCTAGAATTAAGGAGAAATTTCCTGACCATTAGAACAATTCATCAGTGGAACAGCTCGCCACCAGAAGTTGTGAATTCGCCAACACTGGAAGTTTTTAAATAAGTGATTGGACAACCATTGGTCTGAAAGGGTATAGGGTTTGGCTCCTGAGCAAGGGGTTGGACTAGAAGACCTTTAAAGTCCTTTCCAACTCTGTTATTCTCTTCTGTCTTGCCCTCAAAGGGGAAAGCGATGTGTCCCCATTCAGGGACCAAACATATCTGACTGGCAGCGGGTGGGATTGCACGGCTGGCTGATTGCTTTTACAGGTGGTCCTCGACTTAACGACCCCAATTGGGAGCAGGATTTCCGGTTGTTATGCGAGTCGTGCAAAATTTGTCTTTTTTTTTTGGTCCACGGTTGTTAAGAGAAGCACTGCCGCCGTTAAGTGAAATCGCGTGGTCGTTAAGCGAATCCATCTCGCCCCCCCATACCCCCATTGGCTCTGCTCGTCACAAAGAGGGATTGTGTGACCCCAGGATGCTGCAACTGTTGTAAATAACATGGCTGTTGCCTAAATTTTGATCGGGGGGGGGGGGAATGCTGCAACGGTCATAAGTGTGAGGACCTGGCCGTAAGTGGGGTGTGTTGTTTTTTTTCCCTTCAGTGCTCTTGTAACTTCGAACAGTCGCTAAATGAAGCCTTGTTACCGTAGCTCTGACTGCATTGAGCTCCTTTGACTACAAAGCCTCCCATGACGGACGAAGTCGCTTCTATGAAAAAGACGTAAAACATTTCCTCTCCCCTGTTGTGTTGTACACAACTGTCCTTTTTTTGGGGGGGGGGGGTGTTTCCCCAGAAAAAGTGGGAGGCAGAGGAGAAAAAAAAATGGGGGGCCTCTGGGAGCTGAGAACTGGCTGAGAAACTTTGGGGAGCGCTATCGGAATTCAGAAACCTCTACGCAAAAACACAGAGAGGCGGTTGGGCGTGCGTGTACGGTACTTGCGAGGTTACGTGTACGTGTGCGTGGTGGTTCTGTTCGGTTGCGGGTTACTTTTTTTCTCCCCACCCCTGTAGATGACAAAACTTCCATGGATGGAAGAAAAAAAACACAAAAAACTTATGTCGAAAAGATTAAAAAGATGTTAATAATAAATGCAGAGGCCATAGGTTTGCATACATGACTCGGGGAGCGCGTGTGGTTTTTTTTGCATCCGATTCTAACGAGCACCACGACTTCGGTCGCATTGGCGCATTTGGGTGGGAGGTGGGGGGGGGTCATCCCGGCGAGAGCAGGGGTGTCCAATACAAGACCTTCAAGGGGGGCTTAAAATCTGGCCCGCTGGACCGGTGTGGACATATCAAAGGACTGGCTGTCGGGGGTTCCAACATGCACCCCCATCTAGCCGCATCTCTCAGAGCAAAAAAAAAAATTAATTCATTAGGAGTCGACATGTTGGCCTTTCCTGGTTGTAGCCGACTCTAAAGACACATCATTCATTTCCCTCTTGACCCCGGTCTTCCCCCCCCCCCACAGACCCCCCCTGGATGTATATTCTCAGGGGTGGGATTCAAAGTTTTAACAACCGGTTCTGTGGGCGTGGCTTAGGGGTTGGGCGTGGCTTGGCGGTCATGTGACTGGGTGGACGTGGCTTGGTGGTCGTGTTATTGGCTGGGTGTGGCCAACTCAGGATCACTCACATCGAGGCACACATCTCTTCACCTGGCCCCTCATGACGGTGGGGATGCTGCAACAGTCGTAAGTGTGAAAAACGGTCATAAGTCACTTTTTTCAGGGCCATTGTGACTTTGAATGGTCACTCCACACAAGCAAAGGAGGGAAAAATACTTCAGAGAAGTTCCTGAGACAGGAAGTCTAGTCCTGCCAAGAATGTAATAAGGGTTAACGGAGAGGCAGTTTCTGTAAGCAACACCAGAATGTTTCCTTCCTGCCTTCCTTACAGGATTAGCCCTGTAATTTCTTCTAACAACCGGTTCTCCCAACTGCTTAGAAGGTTAACAACCGGTTCTAGCGAATAGGTGCGAACCGGTAGAATCCCACCCCTGCATATTCTCCAATGGGACACATCCATAGCCAAGAGTCATCAATCATGCTCTCCAGTAATAATCTTGTGCGCCAACAGCTTCGGCTGCCTAGCAATTATCTGAAGCATTTAAGGAATGCACTGCTTTCCCCTCCCACTCCCTGCCTGCTGGCAACTAAAAAGACCAAAGGAGTATTGTTTAGTGGACACCGGCTGGCGGTGCCTATGCCAAACAAAATGGGCTATGGGGGAGGGCTGCATGGCCCGTTTTCGGCCTCCCCGGCCTCCAGCAGCACTCCGCCAGGCAAAAAAACAGGCCGCACAGACGGGTGCACCGCTACCGATTCGTACCATTTTGGGCGAACCGGATGCTAGTTTTACATCTGGTTCACCTTGCCGGTAGTTACGACTGGTTGGCCCCACCTACACCTCCCCTCCCCGCTCACGAGTCCCCACACAGCCTGTTTTGGAACTCAGGTAAGTACAGGGTCCATGCAGAGGCTCGGGGAGGGTGAAAAACGGGTCTCTTGGGGGGCTCTGGAAGGCCGGAAATGGACCTGTTTCCGGCCTCTGGAGCCCTGGGAGGGTGAAAACGCCCCCCTGAATTTTGGTCAGGTGACCACGGGGATGCTGCAACGGGCTGTGTGCAAAACGGTCCTAGGTCACTTTTTTTTCAGTGCCGTTGTAACTCCAAATGGTCACTAGACGAATTGTTGTCAGTCAAGGACGATCTACATTGTGACTATGCCCATGTAGCCAGTGTCAATAAAAACACGGATGCCCTTCGGGTCTGTAGAAATTCTCCGTCATCCAGGCCAGGGTTTTTTTTCAAGAGCCATCTGGACTTTCTGTTTTTTTTCTTTGGAGACGTTTTGCTTAAAACGAAGCGACGTGGTCATTCCAAGCGTTGCAGGAATAGTGGAAAAGCTCTTCAGCCAACACAACCTACGTGCGCACGTCAAACCCAAGGATGCACTAAGGCAGAGAAGCTTGTCTGAAACGTCCAGACATGAACTGAGCCAGGTGGTACATAGGCGGTCCAACGCAGTGAGATATGTGCAGTTTGGGGAAATAAAATAACCACTTCACCAACGCACGGCACAACATAGGAGAACAAACCCTTGCAGGAATAAATCCTTGCAGGAACTGGGTATATCCAGTCTGTTGAAAAGAAGGACTAGGGGCGATAGGATAGCAGTGTTCCCGTATCTCAGGGGCTGCCCCAAAGAAGAGGGAGTCAAGCTATTCTCCAAAGCCCCTGAAAGGCAGGACGAGAAGCAATGATTGGAAACTAACCAAGGACAGGAGCAACCTGGAATTAAGGACAAATTTCCTGACATAACAATTAGTCAGTGGAATAACTTGTCTCCAGAGGCTGTGAACGCTCCAACACAAAGTTTTTAAGTTGTTGGGATGACCCTTTGTCTGAAGCGATGTAGGGTTTCCTGCCTAGGCAGGGGGTTGGACTAGAAGACCTCCAAGGTCCCTTCCAACTCTGTTATTCTATTATTCTAAACCCACCAGGACAAGAGAGTTAAAAGACAAAATCCACCTGCATTTAAAAGACAGAGGCTGCTCTTCTGAAGACTTTTTTTTACAGAGAAAAGAAAACTGGTTTGAAAGAGGGGGTCCAAGAGGCCATCTGTGTCCAAACTGGAACACAGGGGGAGGGATAGGACCCCATCTATCTCCAGTCTGCAACCCAGTCCTTTCAGCGGTTCCAAGAAGGCTCCACCCCCACAATTTGCACCGCTCAGGTGACCCTGAGGACACAGACAGACCTCCAAGTGGCCTCAAGGACCCTCTCAAAGGATGCAAATGACCAGTTCTGTCTGCAAGGAGTATAAATCCTTCCCTTCCCCACCGTCCGGTCAGAGCCGAAGAAGCTTTTTGGATGAGAAGAGAAACATCTTCAAAAGCAAAAAAACGAACCAGAAAGTACAGTTGCCTTTTGAGAAATAAAAAAAAGAACAAAACCCCTCTGGGATGGATCCCCTTCCCTGCTTCTCCGGCCGTGTCCTCTCCTTCCCTTTGTTGACAGGGCGCATTGGGAGGTTGGCTGGATCTTCTTACGGAAGGAAAGGAAAAACGAGCATCGAGGTGACCCCGGTCCACCTCCACCATCTATTTTAAGGCACCTGTCCCTACTTAGCACCTGCCAGACAGCCTCCCTTCCACCCCCATCCCCTCCGCAGGCACAGCGCACCATTCTCTGGATCCTGAACGAGAGGCGGGTTGTGAATTCTGCCTCCCCCGCACACACGCAGTCCGTTCCACGTGTTGCTTATATAAAAGTGTTATATAATACAATCGCTTAACAGGTGTGGCAGATTTTTGGGGAAAGGAGTGCCATTCCCTTCATTTAAACCTGCCCGCCTTCCCTGGGTTGGGCCTTATTTAGCAGGAAAAAGGCCAATTTTTTTCCCCCCTTTTCCGGGACATATTCCGACACGCGGAGCTGCTCAAAACCCGGGTTGGATGGGTGCACCCTATATTAGCCGTTGCTGATGGCGGGAGTTGTTGCTACAAGAGGGGGAATAAAAATAACTTCATATTCAAGGGAAGAAGCCATCTGGAACGAAGGAGAAACCTCCAAAAAGTGAAGACGATCAACCAGTGGAACAGCCCGCCACTAGAAGCCGTAGGGGCTTCATCCCCGGAGAAGAAGAGATTGGACAGCCGTTTATCTGGAATTGGTACCTTGGTTCTCCTTCCTGAGCAGGGTTTGGGATTAGTCCAGGGACCGCCAACCTTTTGGACCTCAGGGACCGCCAAACTCATAATTTTAAATCCCGCAGACCGCTCATACGAATATTTTGATTGACGGCGGCTTGCTGACGTTGGTGGGAAAGTCAATCCCATATTCCAAAGCTGCAGGAGTCCCAGGACTGGCCCTTCGGTCATCCCGTAGCAGCCACTCCTCCTCCTCCTCCTCCTCCACCTGGCTGTACCGGCCTGCCAAGGGCTGGAGGAGCTACTCCGGGATGACCCAAGGGCCAGTCCTGGGACTCCTGCAGCTCTGGAATAGGAAGACCCGACTTCCCCACCGACGTCCGCCAGCCACCCCGGGGGCGCATTTCCCACCCCCGCCATTGGTCTTACCTTCCATTTCCAGCTCCCGTGGCTCTACTCAAGGTTGGTGCTCGGCCGAAGGGGTATGGGGGGGACAGTGGGGGGGGCAGGCCATGTGGCTGGCGCAGCCTGGATTAATTGCTTTTGGAGGGGAGGGGGGACATTTCTCTGCGGACCACCACCCTTTTCTCACAAACCACCAGTGGTCCCTGCCCCACTGGTTGGCGACCACTGGACTAGAAGAATTCCAAGATCCCATTCTGTGACTGTATGGAAGGGGAAGGGAAGAGAAGGGGAGGGGAGGGCAATGGTTGGAAACTAATCGAGGAGAGGAGCACCTAGAACTAAGGAGAAACTTAATTAATCCAACATTGAGGACAATTAACCCATGGAACAACTTGCCTCCAGAAGCTGTGAGTGCTTTATCGCTGGAGGCTTTTTAAGAGGAGCCTGGACAGCCACTTGTCTGAAATGGTATAGACTCTCCTGCTTGAGCAGGTGGCTGGACTAGAAGACCTCCCAAGGTCC